ACACACTCCGGGCACATAGGCCACACAAAGATGGTAATATCAAGTCTCATACGTGCACCCAGTGCACAGAGGAGTTCATATTTATATCACATCTGTATACAACAGCAAACGTGTACCCAGTACATAGGGGAGTTCATACTTATAACATATCCGTATATAACGGCAAAACTGGTACTCCGTACACTCCAGATCACACATGGACCCAGTCCACTTGGTGTCTGTCTCACCTCTGTATATATATATAACAGCAAAATATCTTTGGTATATTCACATGGGGCTATCCCCATAATCATAGCAGTAGTGGTATAATATACCCTGTTACATATAAGTCAATTCGTCTTACTCTCTCATTTCATTCTTCTCACTGATAGTTTACACATAAGTCACTATTATCATAATTCACATTCTCTTCGTAATTTCGTACACGTTTTCTAACTTTTAATAGTTTTTTTCTGTCATGTTACCGTTCAAATCCATAGTCCATTATCTCTTCCTTGCTTATTCTTAGTGACACAATAATATACAATTAATATGAAATTAATCTCTTAAAATAATAATAATTGCGAGAATATCAAGAATAACAACAAAAACGTGACGCAAAATCTAACGAATCTCGTTGATGCGATTCGCGGAAGAGCAAATCTCGAACCAAACGACTGGAAGAGAACTTGGTTTTGCATGTTGGAAATGAACACACTCTTCCTCTGTGTGCTTTGAAACTCAAACGTAAGCATCTTAGCCCCTTTTGAATGCTATGATATATTTATTTTTTTTGGCTTCGCAGAAATTTTTCCAGTTTACCCTTTTCCATGTTGTTTATTTTTATTTGACAAAATGCATGGAGGAAAGAACCAAGTTGTTGGACTTGACCTTCACCTTTGACCCTTTATTTTGTAGCATCCTGCATCCAGCTTACCATATGTAGTTGCAGAGGATTTCGTCAACAAAACCAACACTGACAGAGAACTTGGGGGAGAGAAGTGAGGTGATTTCCAAGGGAAGCAACTGAGGGTTACGGTTCACGCTATTAAACAGACCAGCAGTAGTGCAGTTGCTTTCCATCGATTGTGGTCAATCCGGTCAGGTAAGTTTATTATTTAGCTCATGCTGACAAGATCCCATAATACATCGTATGAGTTGTATATTTTGTCCTGTTACCTTTGAAGTGTAAATTCAAATGTAGCTACAAATTTGTGTGTCATGTCCAAGTTCTATCTAAATTTATACAAAAGATTTGCCAAAAATAAGGTGTTTCGAACCGAAAAAATTTGTTGGGTGGAACCAAAGATGGAACTTCAGATCTGTTTGTGTAATATTCCTATGTGCACTTCCTATGATGTATATATTTGTGTGAAAGACATATGGCGTGTCTAGCTTGGTGCAAAGGAACTTATCACTCTCTATTTCATACCGGTTTGCTAGGTAATCTTTTTTGTTTGAAAGCTTCAATTCTCAAGTTAAACAACGAAGAAAAAAACATATAAAAATTGCAGAGCACCCAATGTGAACACTACAAGAAAAACGTCATTTAGCAACACTCATTTAACCACGGTAACATAAATCATACGAGTTCTGTACCAAATCCTCTCCCTATTTTTCATGACCTTTAATATTTAACCAAGAATAAAAAATAAAATGCCTAGCAAAGTTAAAGAAGCGTTGCGAGATCCTCCCACCACATTCATTTATTTATGCAATCATAATTTATATCCAAATCAACGCATATTTAGATTCTTACGTCCAATTTACTCTCTTATTTTCTTGTTTTTACCCAAAATCCCCTTCCACTTTTCTAAGAAAACAAAAAGTTTTTCTCTCAACTCCAAAATCCCCCTCCACTCTCTTATTTTCTCTTCACTTCTTCTTCTTCCCTTTCAATTTTACAATGGCTTATCTCTTCAACGATTGAAGAACTGGTCTAACACTCTGCCTATTCCTTCTATGGTTCTTTTTCAAGCTGTCGCTGATCTTCGCTTAGGTCAAATTTCTCTTCGCTAATCTCTGCCTTTTCTTGCATGAGTCATGTTCGTAATGTGTTTAATTTACATATTTAGAACTCTAGTTCAGGCTGTGGAGGAAGATTTAGGTGGATATATCGATCTCGGCAAAACAAAGTGAGCATTAATCACCTCCCTTTGTGTTGTTGTTTGCCCTTCGTTTAATTTGGTTGGATTCGATTGAATCGTTGAAACGATTGACATTTTTTTTGTTTAGATTTATGAAATAATGTGTTGTTTCTCTTCATTTATTTATTGGTGCCCTACCTATGGATTTTCTAAGATGCTATGCCTCTATGTAAGTATACTCTGCATTGCGCATGATTTGTTTCTAGATACTTGAGCCATTTATGTTTTGTCTCTTTTATAAATTCACAGATTCTCTAACCATAGATTTTCATCTCGATGTTAGGAGGGTCTATTCTTGGAGTGAAGTTTCTTGATCCACTTGCTGGACTTTTAGTCTCAGATATGTTTTTAAAAGCTGGAGCTGAAAATGGTTACCAAAGGTAACTTATCCGTTGTTATCTGTTTCTCCTCAATTTATCACGGCTTGCAAGTTTAGCTGGTTGTTTTATATGTTGTTGGAACTGTTTTCTTTACCCTAGTATATGTCATGTCAAATATATTTTGGAACCTAAGTTAAACATATAGACACTTGGTGAGATCCTCATACAAGGATAGAATAAAATATTTAACACGTATATTGTGGACTTAGATGTGTACTGGATACCTTTAAAGTAGATTATATTTATCTTGGAATTAAATGTTACATATATCAATATATTGAATATGGCATCTAAATGTAGTAAGTCTACTTGTTTTTCCTTATTGACATGTGTAAAATATTCTCGTTTGATGAAAGCTTTGTCATTTTGGTCATATCCCTTAATAACACACACATGACATATGTAAATTGATGGGTTGTTTCTTTACTTCACACTGACGAGCCCAATTAAATATGATGCCTAATATAATTATTTGATAATTTCAGGTGTAGAGTTTACTACCTCTTTCTCCATGCTTAATAAAAAATACAACTTGGGAAATTATTAGGATAATAGAGAATACAAATGGGTGAAAAGTAACCTAAAACATCTAACCATTGGGGCTAAACTAAATTCTGCCTAAACCAAAGGAGATGGAAAAAGTTTTACTTGTTAGTTTTACCTTGCAGGTTGATCCTTTTTCTAGTGTTAGTGCTGCACATGACATTGGTGAAAATGTTCGACATTAAATTCACAAGTACTATCCTACTGTGGCTGAAATTTTTATACACACGTGTCTGTTTTGTAGTTTTATAAATATCTTACATTAGCCAAGGCAGAATCTTAGTTATTTGATATCACAGTTTTTTTTTCATTTTTAAGTGATATTATTAACAGAATTTACTTTGTATCTTTGTCGTTCAACACATTTCTCCTTTATGCCCACATTCAAGTCCAAATAATGTGCTCACTTCTTAGTATCATGTCTGCATAGACTAATATATAGCTAGATAACTTTTGTAGTCAATGTCATATGTTCTTCTATCTTGTATCTTTTAACTCTAAATTTTTCCTATTCTTAATTCCCTTATAGATCTTGCAATGGCTCATGTTTCTCCCAGCATAACAAATGAACAAGATAATTGGGATGGAGACATGTACCAAACAGTATTGTTCCCGCTGGAGATAGTAACATTGAAGGAATTATTTCTGATATCATCTCATCAAACTTTCCACAGGTAATATCTTTATGTGAAAACCAGAAGACTATCAAAATAAACTTCAATTTGGAAATTGATATGGATAGGAAGGTGGAAGGCTGACACATGACATAGTTTGAATAAAATCAATTAGATTATATTTTTTTAACTCTCATCTTTGGGGATTCTTTGGTTTTATTGGTTAGAAGTCGATGAATTATCTTGCGATCGCATGCACTCTGCCCTTGCTCGTTATGGTATTAACCCACAATTTCTAATCAGATATACTATAAAACTAGTAACGATTTTGTGTTTTCATTATTGGGTTTTGTGTTTTCATCTTGCCTTGCAACTTTAGGAGACATTTATCATGATGTTTTTGTCCCCCTCCCCCATCTTGAGAATACAGCATACATTGGTTTGCATTATTGAACAAATCTTATTAACCAAAATTAACTAATATTCTTTAACTTGCAGAGTTGTACTGAACGACAATACCCCCCAGCTGATGTGGCTCAAATATTAGATTCTGCCGTTACCATCCTGCATCCATGCTGTCCTCGAAACCTTCCTATTTACAGAGAAATTCAAATGTGCATGGGAAGAATTAAGACCCAGATTTTAGCTCTCATCCCCACTTGACTTCTATCTTTGTATATAGAATGCTGAACTATTAGTTCAGAACAGATAGGAGCTCCTCACCCACTTGGTAATTTATGTCATTGTTTTGGTACAATAATTTGTCTTTTATTTCACATCAACAGGGTCAAATGGTGGTATTAAATATTAAATAAAAAAGTATTTAATATCTTAAAATTCCATAAAATATTAGATATTTTTCTTCAAGTAATAGTAGAGTACTAAATACTATTTTTAGTTTGCCAAAAAAAATACTATTTTTATTCCTTAGTGTGCATCTTTAGAGCAACCGTTAGCAAATAATAAAAAAATATTAGATATAATACGGTTATTTTTATTTTTAAATAGGTTATTATCAAATTTGGTGCATGTCATATACACATCTGTTTGTTAAGGAAAATACACATGCAATGATACAACTGGACTTGGTCATAAACTCGGTTATCTGGTTACTTGGCCCAGTATCTCATTAGGATTGTTATCTCTTCATTAGAAATGTAGACTATACGTAAGGGAGGACCACAAAAAGTGTTGATATATAGGTATTCCACTCTGAATCTGATTACATTTATATTTATTTTTTATTGTTTATTAATTTATTGTTTGATGGTTTACTTTTGAATAGGTGGGCCTGAAGGTTTATGCTCCTCCTCTTAACAAAACTAATGCTTTTCGTGGGTATATAGACTGCATCGTACAATTCAGATGGCAACGTGATATGCTTGAGAATTTAACCCTTGTGATCGTAGTTCACCGAGGGTTTAAAGGCCAACGTGACCTGCTTTTTCTGCTTTCCTACTCCAGACTTTTGTGATGTCTACTTCCACTCAGGTGGCACTTTTGTAGCTCTTATATCCCCAACTGAAAACAGAATATAAAATGGTAAACAAAGACAGTGAGAACAAGTGTACATAGTCCTAACATATATTAACACAACATAGCAGAAATGAAAAAGGTGCCTCTTAATCAGCTTTGGCACTCGAGCTCTTAATGGGGTTACAAAGATCACTAAAAAAAAGAAATTAGAAAAGAAGATGGAACCCTTTTTTAATCAGCTTTGGCACTATGATCTTACTCAACCTCTTAATTCATCAGCCAATTCCCTTCGACGATTCTCATCAGGTGCCTCTTCCCCATTTGTTAAGCAAGCTACATTAGCTATTTCTCTAAGCAAACATCGACCATCATCAAGCACCCCTATACCATTCATTCAGTGAGGTAATTAACAAATGAATACACAGAACTCACTCAATCTCTATGTCTCGAGTTTGTAGTCTATAGGCCTAAATAGACCATCACTGTCAATCAACAATTTTAACTCAAAGAAGAAAACCGAACAATAAGATGCATAAAAAGTAATTCTTTTAGAATTTAATCTCTACAAATCACTTTTTAACCCAAAAGAAATAAAGGCCAGTTGTTTGAAGGTTATGGAGTAACTTTCAGACTCTGTTAACATAATAAAACCAGCACAAATATCATCAAACCAAGCAACATCAACAAATCCATATTAAAAATACATAAACATAAATCATTCATTAAAGACAAAAATGTAATGGCCAAGATATCTATACTCCCAGACCTAAATTCATAGTTAAGTACATAAAGATAAATCATTCATTAGTTGATCATAATTTTAACCTAAATATTGGAATTCTATGTTGAAAATTGGTAACGGCCAAGATAACAAGCAATCCCAATTAAAATTTTATTTTCATTTTTGTTGGGTTTTTAAACTTTATTTGAATAAAAGAAAATAGAAAATGAAAGGTTTTGTGGTGAAGAGGTGTGTCCCTTAGGAATTTGTTAGTGGACATTAATGAGTTTAAAGTTTCTAAGAAGTAGTCATTAATGTGTTTAGATTTCCTAAGTTAGTCATTAGTATTTCTAGTTATTTGCTATTGCTTTTAAATAGCACCATGTAAATCATTTGAAGGTAGGGCTTGAATGTTAAAAGATATACAAAGAGGTATATTCAGAGAACTCCTTGTGTGTTTTAAGTGTTTGAGAGAAACACCCTTAGAGGACCTGTGATTCACAATTTTAAGAACATACTTCTGTTATCACCTCTTTATTCAGAAAAAGGTAAATGATACAATGATTGTGAAAGATACCTATGCTCATTCATATTAAGAACATACTTGTGTAATCAGCTCTTTCATTAAAGATAAATCATTCATTAAAGATATCTATGCTCCCAGACCCAAAACAGTTGGAATTTATATTAAGAAAAGAAGAATTTGTGTTCTATAGAGTTCAAAAGTTAACAGAGGCATAAAGTTCAACTAATGAAATAATTATGGTATGAAAGAATCAAACGAAAAATAACTTACTGATGTTATTATCCAACATCTGAGTTCCAAGGCTTCTTTAAGCAATGACATGGTTTGTAATGAACTGCGACCAAACATCGAAGGTGCCAAATGAAATAAGAGCAGTCAAAATGAAAGAGGCAAGACAGATTCCACAAAGAAATCCCACAACACAAATCTTACATGGAAATGGGTTGCTCATATGCAAGGCTCTCTGCGAAACCACAACACCTTTCAGTATCATTTTGCTGCTGTTGTAACACTTCATTTCATGGACTATGGTGGGTTTGGAAAAGAGGAAGATAGCATCCCTAACTGATAGCCTGCATCTTATTTTTTTTGTTCAACAGATTTACAACTGAAGAGTTAATGACACTGGTAACATACACAATATACAGTCTAAATACACATAAAAGGTTACATGCATACCATGCATTGAATTTAGGATATAATTTACATAAAACAAATCATACATTTTTATTTTATGCATTTTCATTTCCATTTTGAAAAGAAGGAAAACAAATTACGGGAAAATTATGTCATGCATTTTTATTTCCATTTTGAAAAGGAACAAAAACGAATCGCAGTAGGTAACCAAAAAAAAAGGATAATCCATTACAAGATTCATGTCTTCTTATTTTAATTTATAATTTATTTGTAACCTTTTGTGTTTCCCCCATTTTTCGTCTTTACCAATACATTTCTCCCACAAAAATCATTCACCCCTTAATAATCAAGGACCTAACCTAAACAAAAACAAGGAGGAATCAAAACCTCAAAGTAAACAAGATATTTCAAATGTACAGGAAAGGATTAACATGCCTTACGATAACTTATGGTCAGAGCTTGGAACCCTAATCCCTCAAGTCCACAACACCGTTCCAATGCAGAACAGCCAGAAATATTTTCCAACCTTCTTTGTATACCGGACTGAGAATTCACACCACCGGAAACTCGTGCCTTACCAGATGGTTGCTGATTTTGAAACCAGACACAGAGAGAGAAGACAGAGAAACATAAACTTGAATATTGACGTTGTTGCAACGACAGAGTAACGACTACTTTATTAGGCAACCCTGTTTGCTACATAAGGGTTATTTCGTAATTTGAAGTTGGTTTTTCATCAATATTTTATCTTCAACTAAACATAGATTCAGGAATTTCACTCAATTTTCTAGTAATATTTTGCCCAACCAAACAATTTTTTTTTAACTTTCCTATCTAACTCATTTTTTCTGTAGATCCCTAGTAATTATGGGTGTTAACGAGCCGAGCTTTGGTCTTAACGGGCCGAGCCTGTGTTCAAATGTGTCAGACTGGCCTTAGCCTGTTACCTGTTACGAATCTAATATCAGCCCGTGGCCTGGCTCATTTACAAAAAATAAAAGTCTTGTTTAGCCTGTTAGCCTGTTTAAAAAAATAAGACAACAATAATTTATCCAAACAAAATATACAATCAACAGCACTAGTAATTCCATAAATATTCATAAATTTAATATATATCCAAATAGCATAATATAAAATAAAATCATTTAAAAAATCTGTTTAATTAATAAAATAGGATGAAATAAATTGAGAAGAGAGAGAGGGCTATCACAAGTAGTATAAAAAATTAAAAATAAAAATTAAAAAAAAATAAAAATATTTGGCAAGCCTGAGAGGCTCTAAGACCGAGCTTTTGAATTGGAGCATGAGTTCTTTTTATTAAACGAGCTTTTATACAAGTCCAAGCCTGGGTCCAACAATCAATTTTTGTAATCAGACCTTAACCCCTGGCTTGTTTAACACCCCTACTAATAATTACATTTCTCTGGTAAAAAAAATTTCACCTGGATATTATAGGAATATTGTGGGAAAATATTTTTGCTGGAATGTTATTAAAAAAATGTTTATAGTATAGCAAAATTTTCCTGGGATTTTATGATTAAATTTGCACAGTGAGAATATAAAGTTAACGAAAATAACTCCAACTTTACCTTTTGTTTGAAATGTTGTAGACAAAGAAGAACGTATCTTAAAAAGATACAGGAGAACACAAAACTTTATAGATATTGGAGGCGTTGAAAATGCACAGCTACCAAATGGAGTTGAACTGTGCCAGTGAGAATAGATATGAGAACAGAGGGAGCAACAAATGCTTTCACACACATATCGTAAAAAAAAGAAGGTTAATTTTGTCAACATTTTCGCGGCTTATTTTCCACTTCCCCAGGCAAAAAACATTTCCATCTAATCCATGGAACTATTATTTAGCTTGGAAAGTTATTGTTTTTTTGGTACCAAAAGTGGGGTTGTTATTCCCCAAACATGGTTTCCCAGGTAGGGGAGTGCATGGAGCGGTTCATAACCGATTTTGACAAAAACCGAACCAAACCAGTTTGAAATTGTTTTGTTTTCAAACCGAACCGGTTTTCTTTTTCAAAACCGGTTTTATTTATCCAAACCGGTTCCAAAACCGGTTTATGGTTCAAAATCGGTTTTAAATCAGAACCGGTTATCAAGTTCAAAATCGATTTTATAACAACTTCAAAACCAGTTTTTCATTAGTTGTGCTATATTTTTTTTTTGAAAAAATAAAAAATACCTTTGTTATTTATTTATTTATTTATTGCTAAAAAATCTAGATTATTTCGATTAAACATGAGAAGGCCCTTTATATATTTTTTGCTAAAAATATCTAGGCTATTTTGATTAAATATGAGCAGGCCCACTATTGAAGCCATCAATCATAGATACATCCATATAGAAGTGAAGCTCACAATCATGGAAATACTTGTTTTAACCATAAATATGCTCACAATAAGCAAAAACATAAAGATAAAACTCCATTGTCAATAATTTTAGTAGAAACCAAACCCACCATATGAAAAACCATATTTGAGTTTTCTAAACACAAAATGCAATTTTCTATTCTAACTCACATTTTCTCATAAAATATCAACGAGAAAAAAAGAGGTAAACATAATAAATCCAATAAAAGTAAAATTAAAAAATCATTAAAAAATGGATATGGTTTGGTTATTTTGGATATCCAAACCGTTGTGAAAATGGATAACCAAACCTAAACCAAAATTAAAAAACTGGATTGATTTTTTAAACCATTTTATAAAAATCAGTTTTTGGAACTGGTTTGGTTCAGTTTATGAATTGGTTTGGATCATTTGATTTTTTTGAACATCCCTACTACTAAGTACTAACTGACTCACAAAAGACTACAACAGAATCTCCTCCATTACACCTAACTTTCCCCCAATAGAAACTAACTCCCTTGCAATTGATTTCCCCTTCAGCACACATAATCTTGGGCCCAAACTCTAATGGGCCTGTCCATAGAGCTCTTGTTATCACAGCCCCTAATAGGTTCCTCATCAATCATCGACTGTTGGATTGTAAGCAGAGATCTAGCGGCTGCGGTTCATCAAAGAGATATGACCAAGACATCACTAACAGGTCCACCTTGTGTGATTGAAAGAGAGAAAGAGACTCGTACTAGAGATATAAAAATGGGTCAACTTGCTCCATTAGCCACTATTCTATGCTTAAGGGCAAAAAGTCCATAGGATAAGGTTTATAATAGTAAAGGTATGCACACTTCAAAAGTCTTATAGGATAAGGTTAACCCGTTGGTTATACAAAATTACAATTTCAAAAAGTTTCATTACTTTTATTGAATCCAATGCATTTAAAATTATTTTAATAAATTAATATTTGAAACTTTCGTAAAATATTCCATAGAAAATATTATTTCTTCATAATTTAATTTTTTAAAGAAATAATATTTGCACACAAATACAAGTGAAATATAAACAAAATTTTAATTATTTTTCCATAAATCCTTAAATAGTGAGTCTATATAAAAAAAATAAACATCGTATTATATATATTTATTGTTATTATATTAATGATTATGTCTGCAAACATAAGAAATTAATTTTTGATTTTATTTTTTTGATTTGACAAAGAAAAAACTATTTTACAGAAGTTCTAATATAACAAAAAACATATAAATAACGCATAAAAGAAACCATCATATTAATGCAGCAAATTGGATAATTGAAAAAAAGAAAGGAAAAACCCCAAAACATTATAAAATTATGTAGGCGATCGCCCTTATTCAATTTTCTCAAAGGACTACTAAATTACTCATCATATTTTTGTAACAACTATTTGTTATGTTTTCCCCTATTTTGTTAAAAGATAATATTATTTGAATTAATTTAAAAGATACCGACCTGGATAATTATACAGGACATCAGGGTTAACGCCCAGAAAGGGCCCAAGCAGAACACAGGCTTCATAACGCGCGATACATGCATTTCGCAGAAGGACCAAGAAGCGTAATTGCTTTATTGCACAGAACCGCCTTATGTAACTTAAGGGATAATGAAGGATTTTATGACAGGCTGAGATCCACTGTGCATGCAGACCAACACACGAAAGACAGCTTCAGCTTGCCATCACTCTAAGAAGATAAACAAATGTGTAGACTTATAGCCTGAAAGGCACCAGCTGAGAAAGATAAGCCTGCAGCCCATAACAACCAATGAGGAGGCATGTCGTCTACCGAAGGCGGCATAAGGCTTGCTATAAATATAAAGGGTACAAACCCAGGTATGATAATCTGATTCCCATAAAACATAACATAAACCTTGCATTGATACTCACTTGAGCGTCGGAGTATCTTTGTCGGTACCCCTAGTCATCTCCATTGCACCAGAAGTCTTCACCAACCATCACATATACAGTGAACGTCTTTAGCCCACAAAACACTCTTTGCGACCCAAAGTCTTCAATATTCAACCGTGTATGATTTATCCAATTTGCTATTCACGAGCGTAATGATCCGTGCAACGTGCAACCAAGTTTACTTGTTTCAATGATGGTGTCTTATATGGTAAACCAGTTTGATTGAGTATTACCTGTGGCGTGTCCCTTAAAAATTTACTAGCGTAATATATTTTTTTTTTGGCAGAAGAATATTTTTTTTATTTGGGAATCATAATTTTTGAAATATAATGGGAAAATGAATTTTGTCAAAATATTACCAAAAATCTGTGTAGTAGGTTAAAATATTTTCAGAAATGTTGAGATTTCTGACCTAGAAATCTGTGCCATTAAGTATATATAGGCCTATTACGATTAATCACATTGTATTAGCACTAATGGCTGCGTTTATCATTTTAATTCCAAACTTTGGATTCAGAACCTAACCATTTTCCTAAGATTTGTCATATTTTTATTTTATTTTTTGCAGCACTTTCCCGGTACGCGCTTTTACGTAGCCGGTATCAGTCCTGACACCAGTTCTCATTATTTTGACTT